GGGTACACTGTCACAATTATGTTTTGCATTTTTATTAATTATGTTTAAATATTATTATTGTATTATTATATTACATTCAATCTAAAATTGGGCTTCTTCACCGTTGTTTAATAGCTGACTGTGGCCTAGTTTTCACCCAATATAATCACAAGTAAAACCTAACTACCATTGCAGAATTGAAAGAAAAGCAATTTCCTCAATTGTTTGCAACTCTAAGGTAAATGATGAATAAATAAGCCTTCCCCCCCCCCGCCTGGAATTTGACATTGTCTTTAAAAAGAATTTTTGGATTGATTTTTAAACTGTTTGAATGCCCCCATCACTTTTAAAAGAACAAAAGAGTGAATCATCTTTAGTAATGTTGCAGAACAGATTAAAAATCTCATTCAGTTCTTGATGCAATACAGATATGACTAAATCACACTGTTAACATTGATTTTCCTCACTACAGAAGCCATTTTCATATAATATATTAATGCTAAGGAAAAAAAAGCACTGATTGATCAGATTTTGAGCTTTAATTCTCCATATGGTTTAGTTTTTTACTGAAACATTGCTTCTGACTTTCGATGAGTTTTAACAGACTATAATGAAATAAACACCCTAATAGTTCTTCTATTTTAAATTAAAGTTCAGAACACTACCATTTAAAAAACTGCCACTGCTTTTAATGAACAGAAGTGACTTTCTTGGAATAAAATTAAGTTAAAGAGCAATACAGTAAAATGAATTTGAAATTTACAAAATAATAATGACATCTTGTTAATCTTCTATTTCAATACCTAGAAAGGTACAATAGCACAACAACTTTTATATACAATTCCTGGAACATAAATATCCCTCCTGAGGTATTTGATCAGCTCTCTGTTGTTTTCATTAATGGAGTTTTTCAACAGAATTAAGTATTTTAGGGGGTAGAAGATTTGGTTAAGAGAGCCAATTCTTAATCCTTATTCAAAGCACAAGGATGAGCTTGTGTTACTTTCTTCTTTTTGAAATCATTTTACACTGACAACATTGCTTCAAATGACTGGCTTTATACTTTGATTTGGAGAAAACATTCTAAAGAATGAGATATAAGTGTACATGTGATTTTATTGACAGTGATATGGTTTTAATTTACAACGAAAAACAAAAGTTTCCCTCTTCAGAGGTCTCTCTAGCTCCAGGTCTCGGGGTTTATTGGCAATTTTTTAGCTTATCTTTAGTCTCTCCTACGGGAAACTCTACTGAATGAAAATGCCCTGTCTCCTCTTCACCCAACTAAGAAACAGGGTGATTTGGTGATAAATATTTTGCAAAAAGTACCCCTTTTTAACTCCGAAGAAACACAGAGAGGGGAGAAGAGACCTTTTTGCTTTCAGCTGGGCGGGCTCTTTAGTGCGCCAATCACAGAGCAGCTCCTCTCTATAAATACCAGCCGTCTGCCCTTCTCTAGATCTAGTTTTTTTTCCTTTTCTGATTTTTGGAAAACGCTTATCGCTATGTCGGAAACGGCGCCTGTTGCAGCTCCTGCTGTCTCCGCTCCTGGGGCAAAAACTTCCGCTAAAAAACCGAAGAAGACGCCAGCTACTTCTAAAGCCCGTAAGCCTCCAGGTCCCAGCGTGACCGAGCTGATCACCAAGGCGGTGTCCGCTTCCAAGGAGCGCAAAGGGGTCTCGCTGGCAGCTGTTAAGAAGGCTCTGGCCGCCGGAGGGTACGATGTAGAGAAAAGCAACAGCCGCATCAAGCTGGGGCTCAAGAGCCTGGTGAGCAAGGGCACCTTGGTGCAGACTAAAGGCACCGGCGCATCCGGCTCCTTCAAACTCAACAAGAAGCCTGGCGAGACCAAGGAGAAGGCGCCGAAGAAAAAGCCAGCGGCAAAGCCTAAGAAACCAGCTGCCAAGAAGCCCGCCAGCGCCGCCAAGAAACCCAAAAAAGCTGCGGCCGTGAAAAAGAGCCCGAAAAAAGCCAAGAAACCAGCAGCTGCCGCAGCTAAAAAAACGGCCAAGAGCCCGAAAAAGGTGAAAGCCGCTAAGCCCAAGAAGGCAGCTAAGAGCCCGGCTAAGGCCAAAGCGGTAAAGCCTAAGGCGGCCAAGCCCAAACCGACGAAGCCTAAAGCAACGAAGGCTAAGAAGGCAGCGCCCAAGAAGAAGTAAACGGGCTAGAAAAAATGTCATGCACAGAAATCCAACGGCTCTTTTAAGAGCCACCCACCCTTTCCCAGAGGAGCTGAAACACCAGGTTCGCTTAAATAACCTCGTGCTGCTTTTCATGAAGCGCCCAACTTTCAGAAACGAAAATAATAGAAAATAGGGAGACATAAAATTAAAATCAGTTTGGTACATTTTCCTTCGCCCAAGACAAGAAATAACAATATCAGTACTTTAAAATGCGGGACGTTAATTCATTTATATTCGAGCTGGGTGTATTAAAATCGATCCTGAGCATCAGCCCAAATTCACGATCACTAGCAGCCAAATTCTTCCCTTATCCACCCAGCAGAAAACAACAACAACCCCAAACGGAGGGGAACGAGCTTTAGCAATCATGCTTATTGTGTAAAAGGAGGGGGAAGGTGGCCATTCCTTGCACATGAGCTTCGGTCCAGACAGGATTTATTGTCTAGTAGGAGGGGCGAGTGAGGACTGCGTGTGAGGGTAAACTGCATGACCTAGACACACACACACACTTTTCTGCCTAGCTGGCAGTGGTGGGATCAGGATTAATCCCGTTGGTGAGTTTGAAAAGCCCGCGCTTTGCAAGGATTGGCCTGTGGCAACTCGTCCCCGCTTCTCTTATTGGAGGTAGGGAGAGTCACTGTTAAATCCATAGGTCCCCATGTAAGATGGTGAGTTGTGTGTGGAGTACTGTCAATTTACCAAGTACAAAATACCTCACACGGGGATTTTTGTTTATCTTCAAATCAGATACGTCGGGCACTTGGAAACTTTTATTCTCTGAAAGTGGAGCACTAATAACGGGGAATGGGGGGGAGGAAGCATTTTTCATTGTTCTTCCTTTTTCCTTGATTAAAACCCGCTCTGTTCATACTCTCCTACATCGCCACCTCTGCTTTCTATTCTTGTTTCTCTCCCGGGCTGTGCTTTCAGTCTTTTACCCAATTCTCTAGAAATCACATCCTTACTGATGCTTCTCAGAATGACCTTCACTCGAATACATTAGGAATTCCCTAAGGGTTGGGAAGGACATTTAGAACTAGTGTAAACCTCTGCTAGTTGTTCCAACTGATAACCAGTTGAGATTGCTATCCCGTATGTGGACCTGCCATTAGAGAAGAAGGAAACACATTTGTTCCAGAGGGTTTTACAGATATTTTCTTACAACACAAGAATGTTGAGATTCCGGAATCCTAGGTTTTATTCCAGACTCTAGAGGGGAGTGTTTTCTATAGTTACAGACCCTTCTGCCCTTTTCCATCTTTAGTGTGACCCTTTCTATTCAGACCCTTCTAACTTGTCTATGTCCTACTCCTCCCCCTTCACCATCTCCTGTCTCCTGCTCTCTCACCAAGCTCTTCACCCCTCTGAATTCCAGTTGAATATATGCTTCTTCATCCTGCCTACATGCCAAAAGTGGGGGCATGCAAACTATAGAAAAGACAGTCTCCCTGCTTTAATTTCCAGTGCCTGAAATCACAGTGATCCTTGATAGATGCAAGGAGTTTTTTTGCAGGGGAAGTTCTGCTTAACTGTCTGAGGAGGGACAATAGTAAGGGAAGCCAATCTTCAGACAATTTAGGTGCCAAACGAAAAATGCTCTGCTGAACATGTATGGACTGAGAGTTTTCAGAGGCTAATAACTTGTCCACACTGGGATAGATTTTCATGGGGATAACAAAAAGGATATCCCTGACACTTTTGTGGCCAGTCTGCTTGATGTCAAGTATGTGCCTTAAAGCATAGAGGAGCTTGAGCTTCTAAAGACAACCATTGTGAGAACATTTTAATGTGGGCAATAAAATGTATTTCCCCACAATTTTAATCAATGGCTGAACTTTTTCTTTGTGGCAATTATATTGACTTCAGTGAGATTGAGCTGGTGTAAACTATGAATGTTGTGATGTGTGATAGATGCACTCTGCCAGCATTAAACAAGGTTTGGGTGTTGTCAAGCCTGTTATACATCCTTTTAACTTTTTTTTAATTAAAGATACAGAAAAGGAAAAAAAGCAGTTCAAACATTGAAATGTAAAGTATTAAACAAGGCTTTAATTTTAATAATATCCTTTGTTCCCTTTCCCTTTAGCTGGAGAGAGTTTTAGAAGGAAAACCCTTGTGGT